AAAATTTCTTTGTAAACAATTGTCAACAATTGTTGTGTTGTAATTGCAAAGCCTATTTGCGTCTTTGCAAATTTTTTTTTTAGTTTTTTGGTGGAAAGAATTAAAAAAGGTGGCCACTCAGAAAGCACCTTATCCGTGGCCCGCTGAGTAACCAACGGGTTAGCGATCATCGACGATTGTGGGTTTCGATGCATGAAATGCAACAAAAAACCACACGAATCTCCCTCACGCTTTCAGATAAAGCACCACAGCTCGTCATCGTGGTTGCCGTTCGCTCTAGTGTTAACCAAAGTAGAAGTATAAGAAATACTACAGAAATGATCCTGTGAAGTATAGTCTTGCCGAACGTCTATTTTGAGCAGACGCTTATGCTCTACGTTGATACGTTGCGCCAGTGAATTATAAAATTCACAAAAATGAAATTTACACACAACGTTTGTACTGTACACACAGTGGCTCTCGTATTTCTTGCTTGCTGTGGATCTCGTATTGCTTGTGAGACTTATCGTCTGTGCGTATTTGATCGTCACAAACGATTAGTTATGGCATACGAATGTACGTATGAACGAGCGCACTGCTATACATTTTTCGTTTCTACTGTTTGTAAAATAAATTCAAACAAAGATTTACGCGCGAGCGGAACACAAAAATTCAATGTCAAATCGTTCACTTAAATGTGATTTTTTGTTGTTGCTGTTTCGACATTACTATTTGCACAAGAAGCGTGAGACTCGGCAATCGACAGTCAACGATTAAGTATAAAGCAAATTCATCGGATACACGGAATAACAAACAGTGCAACGAACATTAAGGGCCAAATATTTGTATTTCATTTTGTGCATACTTTGGATATATTTAATAGGACACACGATTATGTCTTTTTTGCGATTGCAATTCAAAGATATTTAAAGATTTTTTTTTGTAAATATAACAACAGAAAAATACACACACTTTTTTAACGAATTCTTTCATGTCGGTTGCGTTGTTTCTTTGTGAAATTTTTGTCTCATTGCTCCACGACACAGCGATATATCTTTGTTTACGGTTTTTCATCTATTTTTGGCACCAGATAAATTGCGAGATTTTATCTCGACGTCAAAGTTGAATGGAAAGAAAGTGACGATGAGTGTGAACAATCAAACATTTCTACTTCCCCAATGTGCAGCACAAAGTGTTGGGCCTGCAAATCAACTTTTTATTCAATTATTAATATAATTATAATTCAAACAAAATCACTGCTCACTGTTCTATTCCGCAACCATAAATTTGGTCCAAAGATTATGGGCCCACTGCTGAGAAAAGCGGTAAAGACGATTTTTTTATTTCAATGTGAACAAAACTGTTTCACTTTTTCGAATGTGCAATGGAAAGGTGTTCAACACCAATTTTAAATTAAAACTTCTTTCAAATAGACGGTGAAGTGTTTGATTTCGTGGTGGCTGGTGCTGGATGGGCCGGATGTGTGGTTGCGAATCGCTTGAGTGAAAATTCAAAATGGAAAGTTTTATTGGTGGAAGCTGGTGGCGATCCGCCTTTTGAATCCGAAGTACGTCATTTTTGTTTTTCCATCTCTTTGCTAGGGTCATTTTTGCCGTTTCATTTTTTTCTCATGTCTCTTTTAAACACTTTTCTCAGGTGCCGGTGATGCTGGAAGCTCATCAGCACACCGAATATGATTGGCGATTTTATGCCGAATCAAATACATCATGTAAAGCATTATCGGATGGAAAGTGTTTTTGGCCGCGTGGAAAGTGCTTGGGTGGTACATCGTCTATAAATGCAATGCTTTATGTTCGTGGTAACGTTCGCGATTTCGATCGCTGGGCTGAGATGGGAAACAATGGATGGGATTACGACAGTGTTTTGCCGTTTTTCAAAAAATGCGAAAACAATCACTTTTCACAATTTGTTTACAAAGACAATGGACGATATCACAGTGACGCAGGTCCATTAAATATCGATTTTTACGGCGATAATCCAGTGGCAAAAACGTTCATAGATGCTGGAATCGAAGACGGTTACAAATTCATAAGTAACATAAACGCCGATGAATATATTGGATACACAAAAGTGCAAGGCACCTGTTATCAGGGTCGTCGACAAAGTTCGGCCAAAGTATTTTTGGCAACGGCAAAAAATCGAACAAATCTTCATGTGCTGAAATATGGTCTCGTTCAAAAGGTTCTGCTAAACGAAACGAATGGAGCCTACGGCATTGAGTATGTCCGTAATGGAAAGATCATAAAAGCCTATGCCAAAAAAGAAGTTATTTTATCAGCCGGAGTGATCATGTCGCCGGTGGTTTTAATGCTGTCTGGCATTGGTCCGAAAGAAGACTTGGAAAAGCATAATATTGCACCAAAGTGTGATTTGCCGGTTGGAAAAAACCTTCTCGATCATGTTCACGTTCATTCATGTTGATTTTCTTTCAATTCGATCCCACCAAAAGTGATCCACCCACTGCTACCGATAACATTTACAATTTTGCGATTCATGGTACAGGTGGATTGACAAACTTTGGCGTTGGCACTTTATCCGCATTCATTAATACAGACAAAGCCGAAAAATTTCCGAATATTCAATTGGCGTACTTTTGGTTTACGGAAAATGCACCCAACCTGCCTACTTACATAAAAGGACGTCCGCTTAGTGATGAAATTGCTAAAAAGCTAATGGAAGTTAATCAAAATCATGACATTGGAGTGGTTGCCATATCACTACTTCATCCGAATTCAACGGGTTCCATACAATTGAACAGTAGCTCGATTCATGACAAGACAAACATTTATCCAAACTATTTTAACGTGCCAAGTGATTTAAAAACGATGATCAGTGCTATTCGTCATCAAATTTTTTACACGAATAGTCAGTCTTATTCGGCGAAACATGGAGAGGTTATTATGTTTCCATTGAAGGAATGCAGTGGAATTGAGTATGATAGCGATGAATATTGGAAATGCTATATCACGTACATGGCTGCAACTGAATACCATCATGTCGGTACCTGCAAAATGGGCACACAATCAGATCGGGATTCAGTGGTTGATGAAAGACTTAGAGTTCACAGCGTATATGGACTTCGTGTCTGCGACGCAAGCATGTAAATGTTTGAAATTTTTTTAATGGTTTCAATTTTTAGCAAATTCAATTTTTTTGCAGAATGCCGTATATCACATCTGGAAATACAAACGCACCAACGATTATGATCGGAGAGAAATGCGCCGCGATGATTATTGAAGATAATTCTGATATGTCTTCACATTCAACATCAGATGAAGAGGTGGAATATTCAATTTCTCAGTCTTATTCGGGATTTATATAATCTAAAACGTTTTCTTGAATAAAATTGTAAAAAAATTATGATTTATTTATCTTTTGTGTTTTACTTTGTTAGCGTTATTGTGAAAGACTACATAGAGATAAAAAAAAAATAATAATTCATTTTACACGTGCCGATTTTGTAGTGAACAGATGGTGTTTAAATTAAAAAAAAATTAGTATTTGGTTGCGTTGGACTTCTTTCATATCACATGATGAAAGAATATAATAAAAAAATGAAATCATCCTGATGATCAAGTATGACTCTTGTTATGAGCTTGTTTTGATTTTGTCCATTTTTTATTTGCAATGCTTATTCTGTTGAAGATGAATAAACATTCTACAGTGAATCTAATATTTTTGGTAGACAAAATTTTGCATGACACACTCCACTCACACGCCATTCGTATATGAATCCTATGTTAGTGGAGAGTTTCTCTGCTTACTTTGCTTGTTATTTTGTCCATCAAAACGAACGTAGTCACGACCCTATTAAACATAAACCCAAGACACGAACTACACATCGTTGTGCTCACGATATTGGAAGCTGAAGCAAGTGTCTATTCATTTCGAAATAATTTGATGTTTTTTTCCTTTAACAAACTCGTGTGACACTGTTTACATCTCTTTTAGTTTCCATCGTTGTTTTTCTTGCTACAAAAATCGAAAAGCGATTGGGAATATTATTCAAATTCAACAGTTTACCACTCATCTATCCGAATTACTTTAACCATTCGGATGATATGGAAACACTAGTACGTGTGGTCAAGGAACAAGTCTCATGTTGACACATATGTATATCAATTGCTTAATTTGGAGTTCATCAAATTACCCATCAAAGAATGCGATCAATACGAATATGGATCGAACGAATATTGGCAGTGCTACAATAAATATATGAGCACCACTTTGTATCATCCGGTCGGAACGTGTCGAATGGGAACGAATGAAACGGGCGTTGTTGATAATCAACTTAGAGTGCATGGCATTCATCGAGTCATCGATACTTCAATGTAATGTTATGAAATTAATTCAATTTATTTTCAAATTTACATTTCGATCATTCATTTTTGATTTCAGAATGCCAATACAGGTGTCAAGACATACAAATGCACCAGCGATGATGATTGGAGAAAAGGGGGCCGATTTCATTAAAAATGATTATTTGTAAGATAAAATAGTCGATTAAAAATATTTTATCTAAACCAAATTAAACAAAGAAGCGTAAAAATTCGTTTGATTCAAAATATTTCGTGTTTGCAATGAATCGAATGAAGTGTCAAGATTTGTGGAGCTGTCTTGTCAAACAAAAAACATCATATTCATAGCCAGTGTCGGCGTTTGCTTGATAGAAATTTAATGATAACAGTTTCAGTTTGTTCTCGAAAGAACCAGACGCTCAGCGTCAAAATATTTACACGGTCACTCATATACAACAACAATACCGTTATTTACAATAGGCTACAGTCGTGAAGTATATGTACCGCCTGGTTCTTTCGATTTCCATGCGGAAAAGATAGTCTGAATACGTAAGCCCCTTTATTTTCAGGTCACTTCTAATAAATAGAACAATCGTAGCATGAAGTGATAATGACAAGAGACAAGGTTTCTCCAGACTCCTTCATAATATTACTACTTTGAATGCAAATTGAACAAAAAGCATCCCCTTTAAATATTTTCATTATCAATTTATTTTGTTCAGAAATTTTTATTACTCATTGTCGCGACAAGATTTTTTCGAATCATCTCTACCGCCCTAAGTTGAAATATTTTCCATTTAAAAATACACAGATGAAAAAGTCGAGAAGGTGTCATAATGTGTATTTGCACTTGAATATCAAAGGAATCACGAGACATAATCATTAGGATTCATTTTGTGATGTTATACGGATCACACTGTAAGAATACATTCAACAACACATTGATGATTTTAAGACAACCAAACGATTTCGAGTAAATGTTTTTATCTAGCAGAAACGGCCTATTGTCAATGTTTCAAAGTCTAAATAGTTTACTATCACTAAAAGTATGTATTGATTCTACCTTCAAATGCATGTTCGGTCATTGTTTAATTTTCTGTTTTTGCTTTGACATTTACCATTCGTCGTTTCCCTTACTTTAAATTTTGACCAAACGCGTTTCAATGTTTTTTTTTTCTTTTTTTCGTCTGTATCTCTAACCAGGGTGGTTTTTTTTTTTCATTTTTCGGAATTTTGGCTAATAGTTTTTTTGCGTCTATTAGACGTCAGAAACAACATACCGGTGTAAATTTTCGTTTTCGTCTCACCAGAAGGAAGCGCAAGAGCTATCTTTATTCCATGATGGATTCCTAGATTTTGTGCAAATATAAACACACTTATTCTCAATTTCAAACGATTTTTCCTACCAAAAATCGAAGAATGTAGTAAAGGTAACACACATGTTCATAAATTAAGGTGTATTGAATGGAATCTTTAGCTGGAATGCTTTTCAACCAAAAATAATTGATTATAGCTTTGGTATACAGTTGTTTGGACGTTCCATATAGGTCGAAGACTGATAGTTTTGTTGAATATTGGGAAATGTAGAAATATGGTCGAATCGGGTCGAATGGTCACTTTTTGGTTACCTTCACAAGTTACATAAATTGACTTCCCGAAGTATTCCAATGACTTATTTCGTGCATTTAGAAGTATTGAAAAGTACCGAAACGTATCAAAACATACCAAAACGTACCGAATAAGTAGTCGTTTGGTGTTACATGGCAAGCTTGTATGAAACTCTCGGAGACTCGGTAAAAAAAGACATTAAAAACGAACGAACGGTTCTTTATCAATTTTGAAATAACTAGAACAAAAAGTATCAAACAAATTGGTAGCTGTGATAACTGATAAGCTTGCTATGAAAATAGATAGCGCATCTTCTGTATGGACTGAAGAGATCAAAATATCAAATTAAATCAAGTTTTCGTTTATTTCAAATTCTATAATTTGGAATTTAAATGCAATCAAAATGTATACATGCAGCCAAAGGTACTTAATCTTGAGGAAACTAAACGATTACCATGAAGCTACACATGTGATAAATACAAACAGGAGTACTAAACAAGCGCATGACTTAATGGGCGCTCTACTTACAGCTAGTAAAACGTTACTCCTGTTTGTTCACAAATTTATACAAAAAAAAGTAGTCACAACAATAAATGATTTTCTTTATTAATGAAATGGTTCACCAGTCTATGAAACTCGCAAAAAAAAAAA